CATGGTCTTTATATTTGAGAGCAATTTGATAGACTGCAGTGATTTGCTTGATATCGATTGACAATTGCTTAGCCGACAATTTTTGCAATTATAACTAAATGCTCCACATTCAATAATACTTAATGCACACACTGTATAGCTAAATGTGTGTGTGTGTGTGAATGAGAAATGTGACTGGCAAAAAGGCAAACAAATTTTACGTTGATTATAATGTGTGGATGATTTATGAGATGAATGTGGGCAGGGGCTGAGATGAGGGAGTGGCAGGCGGGGGTTGAGGCCTATGTTTGATGACGAATACAACATGTAATTCGCATATACATGACAAATGACTTGCCATTTATGGGGTTGGCAACAACAGCAACAACAACAACAAATTGTGACAACGTTGACACAAATAAAAAGAGCCAAATGTATCGATAATCATTGTAAAATCAGAATCGAAACTCATGAGAGCTAAGCAACAACAACAATTAAACCTATGGGAGGGAGAGAGAGAGAGAGAGAAAGAGTGCTGCGTTTGTATAACGTTTTAATGACAATTTACAATGATTATTTTCATGTTGCAACTGTTTCACTTGCCGCTGTTGTGGCATGCCCCACAACTCGGCCTAAATACTTAAATTGTTTGTGCAGCAAAAGATGTCAAATATCTTGAAGTATTGAGTGCACTCTATAAGAATGAATGAGCTGGACTAAGATATATCCATTTAGCATGCATATTTTTGAAACTGTCCTTTACCCTCTATTTGACCTCTGCTTGAATTTGATTTCAAAAAGTTTTTGTTTTCCGACTCCTTGACGAATTTCTGGTCAGCTTCATTAATCCATTTGGCCATTAGCTGCCATCAGAACGTTCATTTTTGAGGGGCACTGTGCTATGACGAAGATGATGAAAAGTTGCGCAACTTGAAAGTTTTTCACATCAAAATCTGGAAAATAATTAATAACCGTCTGGGAAAAACATTTGTTTATGTCTTATATAGGAAATGAAGAATTTGATGCAAATCTTAATGAATACAATGTTCAGGAGTGATTATACAAAACTTAAATTTAATGAATTGAGAATCTAAAATAGAGATGGAGTGGCGGATGAATCGATAGGCGAATGGACAAGTCAAGATGAAAATGTAATGCAATCAAGAAAAGAATTTACGAAGACCCAAATTCCTGCATCTCTCCAGTTTCATCTCCATAACAGTCGTCTAAATCTTACTTCATTCAGTTATTTTTATTTCTTCAAGTTGATACTAAATTAAAATTAACTCAAAAATGCAATTGTGGCCTTGGGCTGAGCTAACTTCATATTCAATCGAGGGTAGAAAACGAACTTTTGTTTGCTTTGCTTGGTTCAACTTAAATTATAATTAGAATTAGTTCAGAGTTAACAAAACCAAACTGTAGACACAGGTAAATTTAACAAACACACACACGCACATACACATACACACACACATACATACATTTTCAAGCCTTTGCTTTGATTGTGAGTTGCACATTTCAGGATTCACCTCATCCAAATGCCAATTTGCTTTGCTATTGCGGTCGTAAGGGTGTGTTGTGTGTGTGTGTGTGTGTGTGTGTGTGTGTGTGCCTGCTTGGAGCTGAGAAACCTTTTTACAATTTATAACAGATCTTGTACAATTTCCTACTCATGCTCTGTGGGCCACGCATACTTCCGCCTTTAAACAGCAACATTGTTGTTGTTGTTGTTGCTACTGTTGTTGTTGTTGTTGCTGCTATTGCTGTTGGGTTTGATTTCCTGTTTTTGGGCAAGCGCTTTTAGTTTGCCATTTAACAAACCGCAAGCACACATTCGTCACCTAAACTGAGGATTTGGCCAGCGGGCAGCGGGCAGTGGGCAGAGGGAGGAGCCGTTGGCATTTGCCTGCTTGTCGATTTCTGTTGTTGCCACTTACAAATTGGCTTCTGGCCACAAACTGCCCTCGTTTGGTCACAAGCAGCAGCAGCAGCAGCAGCAGCAGCATCTAATAAGCCAAAAGGTCAAACAGTGTTGCCAGAGAAACGGAATGAGAGAGAATCGTGAGTCCAGAAAACGCTGCAATTTGGTCGACAAACAAACTTTGAATGCCTGGCACGAAGGGCACATCATCATTGGGAGGAATTCATTTTTTAATTTATATGTTAATCATATCGAGCTGGGCGTAGCGAACCGACTGAGCCAGATGAGCTTCAACTGTCCACACGGTTTGATTATGAAAATGTCATGTAAACAGTCAACAAGGCTGTTTGTTGGCTAAATGAATCGAATGCTGCCAGCGAACGCCTCGAATGCAATTTAGCCAGCTCATTGTCTATTTTGATTTCCGTTCTTTAATGAGACACAAACAGCAGCAGCAGCAACAACAACAACAGCAACAACAACAGCAGCAACAACAACAACAATCTCTGGCCCTGACAGACGCTGAGCCACGCTTTTGTGTGCGCTCTCATCAATGCGTCTAACGGTGCGTATACATAACCGAATGATAATCATTGAATTCGAAATATATTGATTCACTCGGCAAATATTATATTTAATCTAGAGCATCAAAGTCAAGCAATGCCTCCACAATTCAATGGAGCTCAATATAAAAAATAAAATGAAATAAAATTTCCTCTTCTGGTTTTTCTTTCTCTTTCTTTGACTCTCTCTATCTTGCGCTCTCTCTCTCTCTCTCTCTCTCTCTCTTTTGCTGGTCTGCCTGGCCTAATACCATTAGCAATGTAATTCAGTAATTTGCTTGAGCTTGTTTATTTCTTTCCGAGCTATTTATGTGTTTCACAAATAATATTGAGGCCAGGCATGCGGCAAATTGTGCACAATACTTGACAATTCTATAGGTGAAGGCGGCAAATAGAGCGCAAGTCGTAATAAATAACAGACAGTGCAAATATGTACTTATATATGTATGTATGTGTGTCTGTCTGTATATATGTAGCTCCGATCAGCAATTAGCTTGGCTTGCGGCTTATTAGCGCAGACATCATTTAAGTACAAATTCGCATAAATATATGCCGAAGCTGGTTGGGCACTTTCCATATTCATATGTACATATATACATATATCTAGCCAGGCTCTATGACGAGTTGCCTGTGATTGTTTAGCCTCTTTTCTTAGCCCCCCCTATCACTTGCTCTCTTTTGATATCGACTCACAATTCTTAGCAGCTTCATGCCATCTCTTTCTCTTCTGGAACGCGGTAAACATAAAAGCGCCCTTCTATGTGATTCTGTGTGACTCTGAGTAGTGCCACCGCATAACTTTGCTTTGATCCTTTCCGTCTTAAAATTTGATGCGAGCCAGCAGGAGTAACAGTAGCTTCCATAAGTATACTATAGCTGCTGCTTAAGTTATCGATAACGATTAGTTATCGATATAAAATAATACTTGCCAACTTATTAAAAATTTTTTGATGTGTGCTAAGCATATGAAAATTTTGGACCTGCTACCTTAAACTTTGAGGTAGTACAGCAAGAATATTAATATATTCGATAATTCTTTCTTGGTAGCTTATAAAATTATCATGAAAACTTAGTAGTCCTTGGGAATACAAACATACACATAACATAGAATATGTTAGTTTTGATTCAGTTCAAAATTATGTGTACTCAAGTGAGCGAGTAAAAATTGTAGAAAAAATGTTGAAAAATTTTTAGTCAAATTCGAGCAAATTGTATAAAAAATTGTTACCCTTTCGTATCCAAATACATGTATCCCCCAATTGCAAAGGACACAGAACACTTTTTATAAAAACGAGTGGTTCAAATGAAAAGCAAACAGAAAACGGACTTAGCCAGAGCTGTAGATGCAGTCAAACTGAGTCTGAAGTCTAGTCAAGAGACACGTTGAGATGATGAGGACTCCAGTTTCAAGACTGATGAGGGGTAACACCTAGTTCCAGCGTTCCAAGGAGGTGGTCACTAATGGAGAATAAGAATAATAAACTAAAAATTTTGTATGAACTTTACCAAGCTGCCTGAAGGTAAATGAATACACTCATGATGGCGAGCTGCTTGATAAGGCAATGCAGCTCGCCATAATGAGTTCAGTTCATATATCGTCAAGTGGCTGGATGAAGGCTGAAGCCAGAATCTTGTAAATTATCCAGTTGAAGTGATATGCTGATAATGGCATAAATAAAACCAATATTAATAATGAATATTACAAAACAGTTATTTTTTATAATCAATTCTTTTGCTATTGCTCTTATTTGGTCTGGCACTCTGTAGGCACGATTAATGAGTTTGAAGATTTTCTTAATTACACTCACTGTTGGCATTCTCCTCCCCCCCCCCTCCCCTTTCACCCCCTCTGTATGCACTGACAAAGCCTCAAGCTGTGAGCCAAAGAGCTTTGCTCGTTCGCTAATCAACCTTGACTGGCAGGCAAAAATTATTTAAATGCACGTCAAGCAGAGATGAAAATGAAAATGAAATTGAAATTGAAATTGCTCAAAAGGATGTGAAAATTGCAGTTTTACGCTTTCATTGGGGCTGAAGGCGGATGTCAGCAAGTGTTTGTGGTAAACCGTTCGAAATTAAACAAGATTCAGTGATCAAAGTTAACTTGAATCATAATAATATTCGATGTGCCTTACTCTCCCTGCCTCCTTCCCTCCCTCTCTCCCTCTCTCTCTCTCCTTTGACAATGGCAAAATGTTTGCTAAATGCCAATTGAGAATGTTGAAATTTCATTTGCATGCCATTAACTTCGAGTGTGTGTGCAGAGGACTAAGCCCGGCGCTGTTTTGTCAAATAATTTCTATTGACTTTGCTCAAGTTGATTTCAATTTGTCCACCTTGAGCAGACAATGTGGGAACAATTGTTTCTGTGAGTGTGTGTGTGTGTGTGCGTGTGTTAACTAGAAAACTTTTAAAGTCATTTCAAATTGTCATTTTCATAGATTATATTGACGACGTAATGTCTAAGCATTCATTTTCAATTTTCTCATTTCTCTGTTTTTTTTCTCTCTCTCCCTCTCTCTCTCTCTTTGCAGGATGAAAAGAATCAGCTGCTCATCACGAACATTTGGCTCAAATTGGTAAGTTCGAAAGTCGTTTAAACTTGAAGTATTAAACAATATGGAAAAGAAGCATTAGTCAAACCGAGTGGCTCTAGCTCTGTCTCTCTCGCTCTCTCTCATCGGCGCACATATGAGTCTTGGCCAAAAGAGATTTGTTGCCATTCGAGCCATAAATTTGCCTCGGCCTAAGGCCTCAGTGCAACAAATGAAATTGCCGCAATTTGTCAAAAGCCAACAACAACAACAAACATAAGGAAATACATATATATATATATACACTGAGCAAAAAAAAAGTAGCACTTGCCAAATTAAATGAGAGAATGAGACACAGAGAGAGAGTGCTAAAGAAATCACTTAATAGCTTGGGAGATGCGTAAATTGCGTAAATGCCACAAATACCAGCAGCCATGGCATTTGTTTTCCCGCTCGCTTAGCTTTTCATGCGTTTTCCCGCACATTTTCCATTCGCATTTGCATTCGCAAAGCCAGCGCCACAGCCGTTCGCTAAATCCTTAGCCCACAGCTAAATCCTTTCAATCCCACGTCTTTTCGCCATGCTCATCCTGGCGAGCTGCGGGCGAGGGCGAGGGGTCGCGGCATGTGGCATATGGCATGTGGCAACGCAGTTGCAACAAATCAAAGGCCTTGCCACTTAATTGGCAAATCATGCGGCAACATAATTAGCCCGCAAAGTGCTGCTTTCATTCAGATATAGTATATATATATATTGAATCCCATCTGAATCGATAATAAACTCCGCTCGCTTTTAATGCAGTTGCGCAAATATTTTCAGCATATTTGCAATAATTGCAATTGTCCAGAACTCAAATCTTTATTAAAATCACTTCAAAGTTTGTGCATGCAATGAATTTGGTAAATACCCAGTAAAGTTGGGGACATAACAGGGCAGAGCAGAGCTAAGAGGAAGCTGGTGAGAGTAAGCAGAAGCTGAAATAATTATGATAATATCTGGATAGATTCGGAGGGGAGTTGTCTGTATCCAATAAAAAAAAAAGAAAGAAATCTGGTCATATTGAAATGTATATAACAAGCAGAGGAAGGTGAGGCAAACAGCAGAAGACCTCGCTCTATTCATCTTTGATCGCGTCGATCTCAGAATTCTTTAGAGCTAGAGACTTGAAATTTTTGCTGTAGATTCCAGTAAAGCACATCCAGATCGAGTTTATTTTAAAAAATCGATAACTATTTTCGTTTTAGTGCCATCGACTAAAGCCCTTAACAGAAATCAGCTATGAAATTATATTTCTAATATCTTTAGAGTTGCAGTCTTCTGCATATAGACTCATGTATATTTCATATTGATAATGTATTTCATATTTCTTGCATAGGAATATTCAGTGATTCATAAGCTAGATATCTGTCCAACAAATTATGCGCATTTAGGTCTTCCTATTCGACCTAGGGTAACTAACGAATCAGACATTAATTTCATACAATTAAGCGCATGGTGAGCACTCGTATAAAGCTTCTAATTATTGCTATTATTAGATTAAATCTATACGCACACACATATAATGATATATTTATATATATGTGTATTTGGATGGCAACACTTTCTGCTCAGACAGCACTTAAGAGTTTTGCCATCAAATTAATTATAGTGCCTTTGGACTTAGAGCGTCTGGGGCTTACTGGGCGACGTGTCCGGCTGTTCCGCTTTCGAGGGCAATCAGAGAAGCGTTTACGTATGTTTGTAATTATGCGATAGGTAAATGGATGGCAATTGCTTCTTGTATTGATTAATCGCAGCGATCAAATGCAAACACGACAATTTCTGCACATTAGCAATGGCCAGCAAATCGATGCGCTAATCGCCTTAAGCGTCACAAAAGCAACAAATTTAATTACGATAACGGGCTATGCGCCAAAGAGTATACCAGAGCACACCAATACACACACAAACAGCCACAGCCACACACTCTCTCACTCAGGCGCAGCCATAAATGCGCACTTAACGATGATTGATGATTAACACACCTTCCTGCCATTGCATATGGCCGATCAATGGGGCGAGGTGTGCGCGTGCATTTGTATACGTGTGTGTGTGTGTGTGTGTGTGTGTGTGAGGGTATTAGAGACTGTGCTGTGTGTAATTGCGTGTGTGTGTGCCTGTGGTCACGGCTAATTGATATTTTGGTTGATTAAAAACTCACGGAATTGGCTCCAGCTTTGAACAACGCATTTGATGCGGTGCTAAGTACCGTTTGGAATTACAATTTGAAAACTGCAATTGATTGAGGAAGGCTTTCACCATATCATACTCAAATACCTCTGCCGTTTTCTAGTCTTGTTAACATGATTTTGTTGTGTTACTCTGTCGGTCAATCAATCAATCTGCCACTCAATCACTGCATCAAGCAGTGTGTCTGTTAGTCTAACAATCAATCAATTATTTAGACATACAGTCAATCCGTCAAATTGTTCGACATCAATCAGCTGGTAAATTAGTCGATTTGCATATTGGTTAGTTTCTCAATCATTCAGTCAGTCTGTTATAAATTCAATCCATCTAATTATTTATCCACCATTCAATCATTATATTTATTTATATAGTCAGTTAGTCAATCTGTCAAATTGTTAGATGGCAATCAATCGGTAATTCAATTAAAAAGTTCATCAGTCTGTCAAACAGTTGGTCAATCACTTACCCCATCAGTCAATCATTCAGTCCGCCAATCAAATCAGTCAGCTTATCTGTAAGCCATTTAATCAAATTTTATTTCATTGACTCGTTCAATCAGTAAGCTAGTAACCCAATCAACCTGTAAATCTTGAAGTCAATCTTCATCAATCATTTTTTCTTATTGGATGTGGGACTGGATGTTTGTCATGTTAGATCAATCAGTTACATATTGCCTCTAGCTGGCAGTTGTTCAATCAGTAAATGATTCAGGTCTTCAATCAAACCTCTATTACAAAATCACTCAATCAAACATTTTGTCTTTTATTCATTCCATCGTTCAGTCTTTCAATCAAGCAAACTTTCATTCACTCTTCATCAATAAATCATTCAATTAGTCTACCCTTTTTTTAGAAGTTGAATCAATCATATATATATGGAATTCCATTATACTTACCTTGGCACAATCGTATCATCGCTTTAAATTGGAATCTCGTAAAAAATCAAAATGAAAAACCCATTTGGTTAGCATAAACAATTTGCATCGTAAAATCGTTTCGTTTCGCTTCGTTTTGTATTTGCTTTGGTTATTCCACAAATGGACTCTAATTAATTAAGTCGGACGTCAGTGACAGAAATCCTTTTGTTGCTTGGCATTATGACCCGCTCTCGCTCCACCCACTTCTAAAGTAAACAAAAGGCCGCACATCAATTTACTATCTCAATGCATTAACATTTTCCTTTTTCTCTTTATATTTTTGTTTCTCTATTTTATAGGAATGGAACGATATGAATTTGCGTTGGAATTCCAGTGAGTTTGGAGGTGTAAGAGATTTACGTATACCGCCCCATCGATTGTGGAAACCCGATGTGCTCATGTACAATAGGTGAGTGCAAAGTATTGACGACGCAATCTATTTGCATTATTGAAATACTGATTGAAACAAATAAAAATAAATAAATGTAAAATAAATATATATAAGTCTATATATCTTTAGTATTTCATTGATATTACAATAATTAATAATTTATGTTGACAAAATAGAGTTGAAATAAAATATTATAAATTTTGTTCAATAACGCCTTCAACTTAAAACACACAACTAAATAATAATAATAATAATAATAAAAAAGAAAACATTTACTAAAAGCAAAAGTAGGCGTGTCGAAGCCCAGCTAGATTGTATACATAAGTCGTTGGCAAGAAATAATAATATCTAACTTTATATAGCGCAATATCCCTTTCTACTCCATGAAATTGAAATAGAACTTAATCTGTTTAGGTATATCTTAAATGGTCTAATGCCAATAGTTCAGAAATACTTGCTGATCATTTCTCTATTTCTCTCAAACTTTGTCAAGAACTCAGAGATTAGCTGATTGCATTGATTGATTGCATTCTTTCGATATGTGATATGTGATATCAAAGAGAATCACCCACCTCACCTCACCTCACCTCACCTCACCTCACCTCACCTCACCTCACCTCACCTCACCTCACCTCACCTCACCTCACCTCACCTCACCTCTTCTCAGCTATTTGATCCCATTTCCGATACTTCACAAGCTCAAGCAATAAAATGCTAAGAATGATATTATTTTCTGATATCTGATTACAAATCGCAGGCTGTCAGCATGTGCTGTCGGGTATTACCAAGTCGAGTCGACTCCCAAGAGTACTTCAGCACTTTCACTTATTTTCCACTCTCAAAAGGCTGTCAATTTCCGATTCTGACTGCAATTGGATTTCTATTCTTTGTCTTCCTTTTTGCTCAACATGATATTGATTTAGATTTAAGATGCGAATCGAATTGAAGTCCCCTGATTTATGCACAGGCATTACTTAGTAAATGGCTTTTCACTTACTACTCGACTGATTAAAGCCCCAAAGGGTTCGCCTAATAAGATCAACAATTGCAATTGAAAAAAAAAAAAAAAAAAACAAAAAACAAAAACGGAAAACGAAAATAATAATGACATCAATGAGGACAGGCAATAAAAATGATTGCGAGTCGATAAGGGGAGGACAAGAGTTGCCGCACACCTGTACTCGGCTGGGTGTGGGTGAGGGGCAGGTGATGATGATGCTGCCACCTTGATAGACGGCAGCCAATTCAATTCGAGTTTCTACTCTGTTGTCTTTTGGTTTTCAGCTCCTTTTATGGCTCCTGTCCCCTCCTCCTGCTCACCGTGCGATGCTTTATAATTCTGCCATAAACGAGAAGAAAAAGTCGAGCGATTATTGCTATAGCCGTTGCTATTATTGTTGTTATCATTATTGGCTTTGTGGCTGAGGCTTTATTGCTTTATTCATATAATTTTATTTGCATTCGCAACTTGTTTCTCTCTCTCACTCACTCTCTCTCTCTCTCTCTCTCTCTCTCTCGCTCTTTTGATAATAACGAAATTGTGTTTATTTTGGAAAAATCCTTTTCATGTTTATGAGCTGCCATTTGTTTGCCAACGTTTCGGCCTCGTTCGCCCCCCTTCGACCCCCCTTCCCTCACGTTGTGCTCTTTTGTTGTTATCAATTTTATTGTGTAATAGCGCTATCCTTTCTCTTGGCCACGCTCAAGCCCCAATTTATCCCAAATTGTATGCGTGTGTGTTACATATATGCTTATGTATATGTAAATATGTTCAAATTTGCTAAAAATTACGTGAGAATACACTGAAAACAATGCGGTAGGCAATGCAAAATCAGCTCAATTTTTATGGCAATTTAATGAACTATAAAAAATATATAAAATAAAAATACAAAAATTAACTAGCAAAAACTTTATTGACTGCAAATATGCAGTAATTAATTTAATTATAATGATAAAAAAAAAAAAATGAAAGTAAACCAACCTCGCTTAGGCTCTACTGCTGCTATGAAACATTCAAGCTAACTACTACAGAGTTGTTTTCAGTGTAGTCACGGCTAGCTGAATTGATGAATTTAGCATATTTGTGTGCAGTTTTCAAAGTTGGCCCAAAACTCGCTTTAAAGCCAAATATTTTGTTGTATTTTTTTATTGTTATTTTTCAGCTGTGGTTCGGTTAAAAAGAGTGTTTAATCTATTGGCTGGGCAGCTGGACTGGAATAGTCTTTAAATTTTGTTGAGTTTTTATGGCAAATAATAAAGAGCGCCAAGGCTGCCTCAGCCTAAGCCGAGGCCGAGCAGCTGGCAGCGCAGTAAACGCACAAATTTTAATGCGTATTTGGGCAAGTTTTATGACAAAGTAAATGACTTGCTGGAACAATGGCCGTGCGGCCGGAGGAGCAATTAAGAGGAGGGGGGATGGCGCACTTAAAGGGGCGACACAATGCCAAATTGTAGCAGCGGCACAGCACACACACACACACGCTCACACACATAGTAGCAAAAGTATTTTATGATAGCTACTTGCATGTGAGGCGAGGTCTGGGCGTCTCAAGATGGCTGAGATTTTGATGATGTGACTACAGTAGATGGCACGCCCGGCATAATGAATCATAATTTAACTGTAGACATGACCAGCCAAGCGAGACGGCCAGGGGCGGAGTAGGCAAGGGGGCTGGGCTTTGACTTGTGAAAATAATGACAGTGCGAAGAACAATTCACAGCTGCGACTATTTGGGCACTTAGTGTCTGAATGGACAATTCAAACGGTAACGATATACCCGGTAGCACAGCGTGCGAATTGAACTGGGTATAATTAATAAATATTAAATAAGTTCTGGCAGCGCTAAAAATTGAACCGTACAAAATGAGCAAACGCCGCTCACGCGCCGCACTGCCTATAGATTAATCATTAATCAGTGCCAGGCGAACGCACACACACCAGCACACGCACATGCGGCAGAAGGAGCGCCCAGCTGGCAGTGCAAAAATGATTTATGCTGAAAAGTATGCTACATAAATTTCCATATGCGCCGCGCCAAGTATCCGACTGTAAAAAGGGGTCTTATTAAAAGCGTCAACGTGGCCAGCACGAGATTCTAACACACACACACACACACACACACACATATACTATACACATACACACACTCTCTCATTCAGCCATACCATATGAGATTTAAAGCACCTTGAAGCCCATGACTTATGCATTGCCTTTGCACTCTGCTTGCAGCGCGGACGAAGGCTTCGATGGCACCTACGCCACCAATGTGGTTGTGCGGAACAACGGCAGCTGCCTGTACGTGCCGCCCGGCATCTTCAAGTCCACGTGCAAAATCGACATCACCTGGTTCCCCTTCGACGATCAGCGTTGCGAGATGAAGTTCGGCTCCTGGACCTACGATGGCTTTCAGGTGAGTTCAGCGGCAAACTAACACCTGATTACACCAAATACATATACCTATCTACCATATATGCATATATAACATGTATGCATATAGCAATGTGTGCGCCTGCAACGGGCAGCATGTAATAAATATGCTGTCAGCTCTCGCTTGGCACTCGCAATTAATATAAATCCCATGCATAAGTCAGAGCAACAGTGCGAATATTACAAATAAATTAATTACGGGGCAAGACGGAATCATCGTGAAAGTGGAAGTCATAATCTGAGCTGATATTAATGACTTTTGCAGCGGCTGGAAAAAGGCAACGAATAGAGCTCAAAAATCCATATAGCTTATATTTCATTTTTGTTTACAATTTGATTTAAGCTCGTCTTAAATCTGGTTTTATTTACAACTTATGCTTTTCTTTACCATTTGAAGTGCTCCTCATCTAGTTTAGGGATAGAGCAGATCTACAGTAGCTACATTATCAAAACTTGGAACTTCCTCCTTGGAACTTCCTCCTTAGAACTTTAAGAGTCAATCCCATGTGTTCTAAATTTCAAGCTCTTAAGTTGCTCTAAATAAAACAGAATTTTAGAAATCACTATATAGTTAGATCCAATAGCACATGTCCTACCTTTAAAAGTGTAGAATATATCACATTAGATTGTTTGATGATGCCCCCAATGAGCGGGTTTCTGGGATACCGGAAAGAGTATTTACCGAAACGCCACGCCTCCAGGGAAGGCTACAAAGCAATAGTTAAGAAGTCAAGACCAGACAGGAACCAGCCTACATTTATAAATATGTCGGAGATGATAGTATTATTCGAATAGAATACCTTATCGATATATCGGTTCATGCATAGTATTGGGTAATATTAATTGAGTGAGATGTTAATTAACACTAATATCGAGTGTGGTCCTGACGAGGTTGCCAGTTGGTTACGATGGATGTAATCGAACGTGCTAGTGAAAATCAGGCAGTTGATTAGCAAGAGGAAGAAGGGCAACAGAGCAGGAACACGCTGCACTCCACACAATTATCTAATCTGCAGAAATATCCGACAAATATAATAAGCAGCCCTCGTATATGTCTATCGTAACTGAACTTTCTCATTATATAACATCTATATACAATTCCGTTTCAATTTATTTATGTAAATTTGAACATTTCTCTCTAAGCCAATTCGAGAGAATCGTAGCTAAGGCAACAAAAAATTTGCTGTTACCATTTACTCTTTGTTCTCTTCATTCATTTCTCTTTGCATTTGCTTTTATCAGACAATTAAATATTTGCCAATCTTTTATTTTATTTTATTTTTTTTGTGTGCTATTGATAAAGCTGGCAAATTAATTTAAATAAGTTGCCATCGATGCTAACATCAAGATGTTGGCTCACAAATTAATTAGAAACGGCGCTTGATTTATTTTCCTATTTACTTTCGATAAGGGCGCTCATTAATTATGTATATAAAATATACACATACATATAGATCTATACATATATGTTCGTGTATATGTGTGTGTGTGCTAGCAAAGATTCACTAGAGTTAGTTGAATTTATGACAAATTACATTGGCTGTCATTTACGACTCTTGTCCGATTTCATCGGCAATGAGTCAGCGAATTCATGAAAACAAATTGTTATTGCATTAATAAAGTGACCATAGCGAGTGGCCACTGTGTGTGCCAGCGGCGATTGGCCAATAGCAAACTGTAATTGCGACAAATTTAGATCAATCTATAGACGATGAGGCGATGCGAGTGGGAAAAGTGGATGATGATAGAATGTTTCTGGAATGAAGTATTAAGAGAGCATTGAGAGGATCCAAGGACAACCATATCTATTAGAGATACAATAGAGAACAATGCAATCGGACGTAACCAACTACAGAATACTCATTCGCCTCTTGCCATGCCCCCAATTGACATATGCATGTTATTTATGTTGAGTCATATGAAGAGTTTAATTGTAATTCAGGGGCGGATGGACGGACGAACATGAATAGATCTACCTCCTCAATATATAGAGAAAATAATCCTTTGTAAGGCAGTCCTACATCTCGCAGACATCTCTCTCTCTCTCTCTCACTCTCTCTCTATCCCTATTTTTTACCTCTCTCTCTTCCTATATTTCTCTCACTGTCGCTCTCTCTATATCTCTCTCTATCTTTCTCTCTATCTCTGTCTCTACCTCTCCTTCCTTTTTCTATCCCTCTTTTTATACAACTATCTCTCTCTCTATCCCTATCCCTCTCTTATACCTCTCTCTCTTCTTATCTTCCTCTCTCTGTTTCTCTATAGAATCTCTCTCTATCTCTCTCCCTCTCTCTGTCTCTATCTCGCTCCCTCTTTCTCTCTCTCTCTCTCTTTCTCTCTCTTTCTCTCCACCTCCATCTTTGTTTCCCTATTCCTCTTTTTATCCAACTATCTCTCTCTTTTGTTCCATCCAACTATCCAACTTTGTATCCAACTATCTCTTTTTCTCTCTCTCTCTATCTCTACCTCCATCTCTATTTCTATCTATCTATCTATCCTACTATCTGTTGTTGATCGAAAAAAGAGAAGAAAAAATACACGAAGCCTTAATTCGTATTGTGCAACATTTAATTAGAAGCTAATTAACACAATTTAGATGGGCGTCAAATTGTTAACAACCGAGTAAACTAATGGCAAACGCAATTTATTTAAATAATTTAAATGTGGACGCGTCCACATTTCAATTGGCCTTCGATGGGTGCTCGGCGCACCCGTTGACAAATTAACAAACATTTATTTAAATAGTTCACTGAACAGGCGGAACAACTCCAGCAAGCCGCATGTGATGCGAATGCGAAAATATCCTGTAAGGATATCGCAGCGCGATATGCATGGGGATTACTTTGTGGGCGGAACGTGATGCAGAATACAAACTCCGATGACGTGACGTGCAATGAACGTGTTTTTCAGAAAGATATACATATATAGTTGCCTACAGGCGAAAGACAAACTGTGGCAATATTCTGGAAATACCGCCATCGCTGCCGTCTTTGGGATCTCAATATTGAAAGTTGAATGGAGAAAACCGAATATTAATTATTGAAAGTTGAATAAGCGACATCGAATATAGATTGTCGAATATCGTAAATAAAATATATAAAATGGAATATTATCTATTGATAATTGAATATCAAAAATCAGATATTTAATATCCAATGGAGATTAGAAACAAGAATACCCTAAATTGATAATTGAATATCGAAAATCTAATATTGAAAATTGAATATCAAATGGAGAATATTGAAACTTGAATATCTCAAATTGTTTATTTGTATTGTATCAAATATCGAAAATCGACTATAGAAATGGAATATTGAAAATCAAACGGGAAAAAATTAAGTATCTAAAATCGATTACAATCGAAAGTTGAATTTAATCAACCGAATCTCGAAAATCAAATATCGAATATAGAAAATCCAATATCGCAAATCGATTATTTAAAATCATATGTCGGAAAAATCTCATAAATCAAAAGTTGAATATGGACGGACAATGGAATATCGAAAATCGATTATTTCAAAACAAATATCGATTGTTGAACAAGACTAATACAAGCCTAATACAAAGCATTGATGCAAAGGCAAGACAATCTCATTATTTAAATAGTACACATTTAGTATATACCCATACTAAGTTAAATAAATAATTTACTTGATTGATATACATATATTACATTAGCTGACACATCACTCCAGCACAGCGTGTATACCCAACTTCAGACATCGAATAATATTATATAAAAAATAAATAAAATTAATGCAACTCCCATTAATAATTGACGCTATATATAATTGTATGGGGCACTGATTAAATTATTGAATTTGAGAAGTTTGAGTGGGGCGAGGGATTAAAGCGGATTGAACTGGCAGCTGCATTAACTGTAAACAATACAATTGTATTTAATGGCAACGATAATTAAGCCTGACATTTTGGCAAACACACACACACACACACAGACAGACGCACACATACGTGTATTTATATACCTTTTAAGGATCACGCACATACGCACAGAGAGAGACAAGCTACTTAGGCATATCTCATTTACCGCGCACATAATTCGCAATGCCGGATATCCGGCGAGGCAATCTATAAATATTTTGCAGTCGCATCGATTTCCTGCAACAGCCAAAGCCTAATGAATACAGCCGACGCGAGGCGTAGGGCGTCCCCAAGGGGGCGGGCTTCGGGGAACTTTGCCCCAACTGCACTTGCAGAGCCCCAAGTTTCAAGTTGATGCTTTGATATCGTTGACTCGTATAAATGAAAATTGAAGTATTTAAATCGTCCTTAATTAGTTAATTGGCCTGGCCGGCCATTGGGCAAATTATGATAATTTATGCTCCTGGCTCTTCGACTCGTAAATGAAGTCGAGAGTCGATTGCAAGAAAAATGTAATTCGATTAATTAAATTATTTATTTATGAGCCGTAGCGCGGGTGAGATGTGTGAAGCTGCGACTAGCACATACCCAGTGCTACTCTCCAGCCGAATGGTCGTCGAATGGTCGTTAGGGTAGCTGCCAGTTGAGCGTATGAACCGCCCCACCCCACCCAGCCAGACGATGTTTATCCGCATTATTATTGTTGCTTGTAAAAATCAATTAAGTGCTTGGCCGAATAAAATGCCCAAAAATGCAAATATTTCAGTTGAGTGCACAATTTATAATGGCCACTAAAACGCACACACACACACACATGTATATACATACACATATATGTATATATAAATGTAGAGAAACAAGTAGGAGAACTCTAGTCGAGACTGCACGACTAGGAGATCCCCTGAAACCTTGGTAGAACTGATATTTCAATCATTCTACACTTTTATATACATTATATTTAATATATTATGAGAGCTTTAATCCTTTGTCTATGTCAAACTTTCAAAATGTGATAATAATATTCAAATGTCGATTTGCCAATGCACAAGTGTCTGGTATTTGAATAATCGATTATGATCGATAAAAATAAGTGGTAACCTA